TCAATCACGCATAAACATAATTATTAAAATTTGTGTCCGATCAATATATGAAAGTATTAATTAATTATTACTTAGGAAAATGCCGTAATCAACCGAGCCCGTTGAATATAGCAATTTAGCTTTCCTTATCTTTATGTATATGCCTCTATTATCTTTTATGCAACAGATACTGTCCACTAATAAGCATTTAAATTACTATTTGTACTTAATTAGTAATTATTTTAAGTTGTTAGTAAGGTAAACACATTGTAGATTTAGAGTAAATTTGTTAAAATTGTAAATGTAAATGAAATAGAAAAACAGTTGCTGATCATATGTCTATTTTTTGGAAACGCTTTTTTAATGGCTATTCTTGCCACAACTAAACTATTTCTTGCTTTCATAAAAAATTGTAAATATGAACGACCATCGACTTGCTTATTTCTCTAGGTTGGTAGTATCATAGGCACGGCGCTGAATGACGTGAAATTTACAGTTTGGCATAGTCAACGTGAAGTTTGGTTAAGTCCCATATTGCAGTTTCCGTGATTGATTTGCGAAGGAAAATAATATTGTGCTATTAACGTTGCCGCCACACACCTCGCACAGAACTCAACCTCTTGACAAGACTGTTTTTGGATCATACAAAACCTACTACAACACCATAGCTAATGAGTAGATGATGACTCAGCTTGGATGACCTATAAGCTTGTATGGCATAGCTAGACACATATGCAAGGCATTAAAAGGATTAAAAAAATAGAGATATGGTCTATTAATAAAAATATATTTGGCGACTACGAATATCTGTCGTTCTATATAATAGATCGCCAAAATCCAGAACCATAAAAGAATCCTAATACGGCATTCTGCTCATCAAGCCTTCAATTATCCGCAAATCCATCAACATCAAACTTGACACCGGTACTTCCACTGCAGTCTAATGACAACAAGGCAAAAGTAACACTGACGTCAAAAGCCCGTTTGTAGTGCGCCCATTCCCCAAATCCGTAGCTCGAAAAACTTCTCAAAAGGGATGAAAGCGTGGTAAAATAAGAATTTTGACAAACACCGTGAAGAAAGAGGAACTATTGCAAAGTACAGTGAAAAAACCAAAGTCAGTCAAAAGAAAGGTTCTCTGCAATAGTTCAGATGAATCTGATGAGGAGATGAAAAATGTAACAAAGGATTCAAGTGACGAGGATTTAGAAACTTTTCTGCTTAACGAAAATGAAAATTATTTATTAAAGCAACAGAAAAAGTAAAGAAATACTGAACTCTTCTAAGTTAAGAGCAGGTGATATTATTTTCGTAAAATTGGCCAGTAAAAATAATATTGCACACTATTTTGCCAATAGATGACGAATATATGGTCAAATATTTAAAACACTTATTGGAAACAATAAATTTGTCTATTTAGATGTGAAAATCTCTTGTGTCTCCGAAGGCGACATAATAAAAAAACTGCCTTCACCAGATTTGGTTGAAACACCACAACGCCAACAAAATATGATGCTCTTTAATGTTAAATTTGATACCTACAATGTAAATTAATCATGTTTGTCACCTTATAATTCATGTAATAAATAAGATTCTGTATTCTTCAATGGTCGCTATAAAGCAATTTTTAAACATTTTGTGCCAAACGACATGAAATTTGCCCAAAGGTACAACACTCTATATATTCGACAAATATTCTTTTATGGATATTTTGTATAAACTATTCATATATCCCTGAAGCATTGTTATATATTTGTTAAAATACAATTGACTGCTATTTTTTGATATTTTAGAAAAACTACTACAATATTCAAAAAAGAGAAACATATAATGTTTGTACTTGTACATGATTTGATTTTTTTCTTGTTACAGTCTTAGATCCATCGTCTTAAATACACCAAAAATTTTATGGGTTTAAGTTCCTGTTCCTATTTCAGATATCGCTACTGCTTTAATGTTTTTCTTAATTCTGGTCTAGTAGGAGTCTACATATTTCTAATCTTTTTCGTTTACATTTTGATTCCTTACTCCATTGGTGATGTTTTTCGAGTATCATTCTGCAATTGTCACATCGCTCAGCTTTTGCACTACCCATTTTATTTCCTTTTCTGGCATTTTAAATTCTAACCCTCAATGTTGAGATCATTAAGTTGTGATCGGTTTTTTTTGTGTGTTTTGGCTTGAACAATTGTCATTCAGCCAGTCTCAATCAAGATAAGTTTATTAATGCAGTGTGTGTGTCTGTGTTTGTGTGTGTAGAGTTAAGGATTCCCCACACCGACGCGAAACTTTTGCGACGCGAAACCGTTGCGGAACATTCGCAGGCGGAGCACTATTAAATTCATTATATATAATATATAATGAAAACTTACCATTTTCTCCTAGAAATGACCCTATATTATCCCAGACTTTATCCTTTTTTCTTATATTTTTATAATCTTCGTCACTTAAATCATAAATTATAGGATATTGTTTCACAATTTCAATTAGTTTTTCTGTAACAGCCATTTTAATAATTCACGCGAAACTATAACTTGCTATAACTGCAGCGGAAAAAACCGTGCATGCAGCGTTTCATGAAACGTCAACGCTGTTCTGCCGCGACCGTTCCGGTTTCCGACCGAACTTGTCTGAACACGTGCATTAAGTCGCCGTGCCTTACGATTCGCCGCGATTCCGCTGCGAAAGTTTCGCGTCGGTTTGGGGAATCCTTAATTGTCTTGATACTTAGCAAAGTCGACGTCATTGTCTTTGCTAAGAGACGCTAATTGTATCCGAACGTCTGCGGTCCCTCCGGTGAGTACCGATCACACAAGGATAAAAATTATTTTCATTTATTAATTTTTTTTAGTAAACGAAAATTTCCACCCAGGTGGGATTCGAACTCACGACCTTTAGGTTTAAAGGTAGGCGCTCTTACCACTGAGCCACAGAGGGGTTTGAAAGTTGTGATCTGAATCTATGTTTGTGCGTCAATACCTTCTGCAGTTCATTATATCTGGTGAGCGTCTTCAACCTATCAAGATGTGATCAAACTGACTGGTTGTTTCACATTTGACAGTAATTTTGTATATTCCAGGTAAAATTTACAAAATGATGGCCAGTGAGAATATGAATATAGAGTAAAATACCATGGTTTATGTCAACACTTAATAAATACATTATTTACATAAGCTTCAATACAATAAACATTAACGTCAAACAGATATTAAATGTAATGCTTAATACTTACTACAATAATTTTTGGTTTATTCTCATGTAAAATTACTATTTAACTTAAACGAATCACAAGAAAACAGTGTTAGAACTGCTTTATGTAATGCAGGATAAAAATAAATTAAAAAATATAGTGTCCAATGCAAAAAAAATTCAAATCGTTCTACAGATGAAAATAAGAAATAAGTCACCGCTTTAAATTATATATGGGTTCTAGATTGGGATGGATCTGAACGTTTAAACCTTACTTAGACAGTATAATTCTTCAAGGAGTGTCTCCCTTTTTTAACGGGAGTTTTGGATGGTAGTAAACGTAAATAAAATGAAGAAGAGTGGCAGTATGCTGCTAGCGGAGCAGAGAAGCAGAAGATGGGCCACTTTTGTTTGAAGGAAGGAGAATTGAAAGTAAATCATTTTTCGTTGAGGAAGCACCTTTTCTGTCACCAAATATACAATAGAAACGGATCTTAGATTAGCCTTTTTTGGCTTTCAGCTTATTTTATCTGCGATATTTAATGAGAATTGCTTTAGAGATGTCGTGATACCCATCAGGAAGTTCGTTGCCAGTCCAGTGTAAAAGTTTGATAGGTGGGAAAGGAACTTTTTAATGGCAAGGAGTTTTTAGAGTTAGCTTAGCTCTATTGTTCAGGTTGTTTATGGTTATTAGTACATATCTCTTGCTTAGATAATGGATTCTGTTTTCAACTGTATGCCAGTTTGCGAGTGGGTGAATTAGTATTGATGGGTAGTGAGCTTGTTTCCTCATGCATTTCCGATTAGGTGCATCCACCATTTTTTAGATTATAATTAATCCGAATATTCGATACACAAGTAATAATACATATAAATAAAACAAATATGTATGTAAAGCACTAAATGTATTAAAATTACAATTAGTTAAAATAATGGAGCAAATATGCTGTTTTTAAAATAAAATATAGCTTTCTCCATGACACTGAAAACTATTATTAACAATAATGTTATTATATAACGGAGATTAAAGATTTTCTGGTACAAAGCAAGTTCCTATTGCAGATTAGTATCTCAAATTACAAATTGTATGACTTACCGATAAAAATTACAAATAGAGTGTAATTGAATAAACTCTTACTTCTTTCTTTTTATAGGAAGATAGTTACATATCTTAACAAAAAGCAATTTATTTGATGAGATGTTTAACAAAAAGTGTAAAAAATCGTAGATTATTTTAGGTTTAAAAATTTCCAACTCTTAAGTTCTCTTCTGCTTCCAAGTTCATTTCTTTGGCTTGTGTATAGTTCTTGATAGAAGTCTTTAACTATGTGTAGTAGTTCTTCTCTATTTGATGTGGGACTTCTTCTTTGTTCTTTAGTTTGTGTATTTCGCATTTTCCATTGTTTAGTCGTCTTCTCAGGACTTTTATCTCTCTTTCCTTAAATCTTTCTCTATAGCTTTTGATACTTCTTTGTTTATTTTTTGCAGTTCTTATTCGTTAATGCTTTCTTTTCCTTTGATTTTTCTCTAGTTTCAATTAGTTGCTTTGTTTCAGTGGATATTTTTTCGTCTGGCGTCTTTTAGGGCAGCATTTTACTTGAGCCTCTCGAATAGCTTCTACAATATTTTCGTTTAGGGCATTTACATTATTCATGCATTCATTTTGTTGTAGGATTTTATTGATATTGTCTTGGTATTCATTTAAATTCGTTGGGTCGTTTCATATTGGGTTGGCTTTCTTCCTAATCATTTTAAATCTTTGTATTATTAAGTTAAACCCTACCCGTTCACAGACTTTATCATTTTAATATTTTTATATATTTACTTTACAGGTTAATACTGGACAAGATCCCGAAAGCTGCTTGATTAACGGAAAAGGACAATTCAGAGACCCTAACACTGGATTTATGACCAACACACCTTTGGAAGTTTTCACCATCACTCCTGGCAAAAGATACAGATTCAGAATGATCAACTCGTTTGCTTCAGTTTGTCCCGCTCAATTGACAATCCAAGGTCACGATTTAACGCTTATAGCTACTGACGGTGAACCAGTACAACCAGTTAAAGTTAATACTGTTATCTCATTCTCAGGTAAGTTGTTTTATATTATTTATTGGTAGTTTCATTCGTAACTTTAAGTATATTGTATGATGTGTTTTGAGAATACCTTTGTTAAGAATATTAGTAGATTATATTAATATTAACGAATATTTGCGATTATAATTTAGATAAATTTACTATCTCGTAGGATATTCTCGTAGACGAATATTTTCAAAATTTCAGGCAAATCGGACTCATAGTTTTGTATCGCGTGTGAGAATGGAGTTTAAGATGGAAAAAGAGTAATGTCGGTCAGTTATTCTATTCTTCTTTTGGTTTGTTAGCCAAGTAGTATCACGATCTCGTATTAGCAGACTACCGATTGAAGGGGCGCAAGATAGCTAATATAGTAGGTATCTCAAAAGACAGCGTGGGTTATATTCTCATATCCAAAATTTTGGGTATGTGAAAGCTATCGAAGCTATCGTAGCTGTTAAGCTACTTCAGAACAGTGTTTGACACTGTTTAAGCGCAATACGAAGGAATTTCTGCATCGTTTCGTAATTGTCTTTCGTAATTGTCGACAAATCATCGATTCACTAGTAAACAGTGGAGACCAAGGAATAGTCGAAACAGTAGACTTCACCCGGTGAACGTGATCCGTACAAACTGTTCCATCGACCTGAAAGATGATGACTTTCATTTTCTGTCATTAACAAGGTGTGATCTATGTCATCTACCTTAAAAAAGAGAAACCGGCTACAGAGCTCTGCTATATTGAACTATTATACCAATTCGACACCAACTTTTAGAGAAAATGGACACATTTAAAGAAGAAAAAAGTTATTTTACTGTGATAACACACCGGCTCATACCTCTGCCATCGTCATGGCACCAATGGTCGAATTTGTCTACGAGCTACTGCCATATCCTCTATATTTTCCAGATTTGGCGCCGTGCGACTACTTTTTGTTTCCAACTTGAATAACTCGTTTATTGGACAAAAAATTAAGTCGAATGAAGAGGTTATCGTTTATAGGGCACCTATGCTATATACTTATTGGACCCCGACCATCATCAAGATGATACAGCCAACTTAGGTAGACAAATGTTATCTTGGAAAAGAAGCAATGCACCCAATTTGTGGCAATGACGTTAAAAGACTCTGAGGTTTCCAAAGCAACCAAGTATAGCGAAAAATTAGCAAGAAACAAGAAACCAAAGAGATTGTTTACGAAATGAAAAAAAAAAAAATATGAACACTATAGAAAGGAACTATTTTTACAAGACATTAATATATTCTGCAATGCATTTGAATGATTGAAAAAATGATTTGAAATTGGAATTGACAATATTTTGCTCACGATCAGACATTGTCACAAGAAAGCGAAAGCAAAATCGCTTGCTTACGTACATTAAATTTAATAGTGTCATATGGTTGGATTCAACATTTTGTTAAATAAGTTTTTATTTGATAGCAACGCAAATGACAACTGCCTTAATTGACAGATGTTCCTGTACTTTGAACTTGATCAAAATGATGAAAAGATATCAAAAAGAGAAGAAATAAATGCTTTTATACTATGTTAAAAATGAAGAGTCTGTCAAAAGAAGTATGAGAAAAAGGTCAAATAAGATGCTATTGCTACTGTTTTTACATGTTAGTTTTGACATATAATCTCAAGCGTCATTTCTACTTCCAAAACCTAGCACTTCATGTTCCCTTTCGTGTCTTTTATGCATTGGCAAACATGCGGTATATATTTATTTGCAGTTTTGATAACATCCAAAGATATAAGATTATTTCCACTGCCAAAAATCAAAGAATTGAAATAAAATAAGTCGAAATATTTATTAAAAGCTTGTCTTAAACTAGATACTTGATGAGTGCTAGATAATTTTATGCTTAATATATAAGTTCTTTTTCTTCTTCTACTTCTTGGAGATCTTTTGATACTTAACCAAGATGCCTCTGGTTAATTTCCTGGAGGAAGATTATCAACCATCCCTCCATCTTTTAGGTGGTCTTCCGGGAGGTAAAAAATATCATTCTTCTTTAAAATTAATTTTGAAAATACTTTTAAATTTCATCCATCCATCCAATGGCACTACAGCCGGGCCTTGGCCTCCTTCATTAAACCTCTCCAAACATCTCTATTTACTGCTGTTCTTTTCCATGAACGCGTTTTTAGGAGATTTTTGGCATCCTCATCTACCTCGTCTTCCCATCTCTTTTTTGGTCTTCCAACAGGTCTTTTTCCTTGCATTCTTGCGTTTAGTAATTTTCTGGGGATTCTGTTCTCATGCATGCGGGCCACATGCCCTGCCCATCGTAATCTCTGCAGTCTAGTGTATTGTGCTAGTGTTGGTTCAGTGTATTGTTCGTATATTTCGTTATTATATCTAATTCGCCAGTTGTTATTTTCCTTTATTGGACCCAGTATTCTACGCAATATTTTTCTTTCGAACACGTCTAATGCATTGGTAGATTTCTGTGTTATAACCCATGTTTCACACCCATAACTTACTATGGGTCGGATTATTGTTTTATATACCCGGAGTTTTGTTTTCCGGTGTACGTCTCGCGATTTGAATATGTGGCCCATCGCGAAATAGGCTTTGTTTGCCAGCATAAGCCTTCTATTTATTTCCGGTTCTTCTTCATTATTTTCGACCAGATCCATTCCTAAATACGTGAATCTATTCACGTATTCTATATCGTCTATAAATTGTTGTTGTTGCGCCTGTCTATTTGATCTGGTTTGTATGAGTAGTTTTGTTTTATTTGTATTTATTGTTAGCCCTACAACTTCTGAACTCTGTTTCAACTGAACGTAGGTTTCTTCTGCCGCTGTCTTTGTTCTGCTCATTATGTTTATGTCATCTGCGTATGCTGCTAATTGGGTAGATTTGTTTGTAAGTATGTTATTTCTGCTCACCGTCAACCGTCTAATTACATATTCAAGAACAAGATTAAAAAGTGTTGGAGCCAGTCCGTCACCTTGTTTCAGTCCTTGCGTTGTCATAAACGCATCAGTGATCTGTCCTTGAATACATACATGTGCTTCTGTTTCTGTCATTGTCATTTGCACTAGTCTTATTAATTTTGATGGTATGCCAAATTCTTGTAATATATTAGTTAGTATTGTTCTATCTATTGAATCATAGGCTTGCTTGAAATCTACAAAGAGATTGTAGACGTCTATGTCATATTCCCATGCTTTGGCTAGTATTTGTTTAACTGTAAATAGTTGGTCAATAGTAGATCTATTTTGCCTGAACCCTGCTTTATATTCCCCGATAATTTTTTCAGTGAGTGGTTGAAGTCTTCGATTAAGAATGTTTGTGAGTATTTTGTATCCCGAACAAAGTAAAGAGATGCCTCTATAATTCTGGCATAACAGTTTGTCTCCTTTTTTATGAATAGAGCAGATTATACTTTTCTTCCATTGTTGTGGGATTTTTTCTTCTCTCCATATTTCTTGTATAAGCTGGTACATATGTTCTGTCAAATTTGTTCCTCCCTGCTTGAACAGTTCTGCCGGTATCTTATCTATTCCCGGCGCTTTATGGCTTTTTTGCATTTGGATTGCTGTTCGAACCTCCTCTAGCGTTGGAGGTCTAGCCAATTCATTATCTTCTCCATCTTCCCACAGCTCCTGTTGTTGACCTTCCTGTTCTACCTGCTGCTGCCGCTGTTGTAGTGGTGTTTGTGCCCTTTCGTTTAATAATTCCTTAAAATACATCATCCAGGTTCTCTTAATTTCGTCCATATCGCTAATTATGTCCCCATTCTTATTTTTGCATAGGCTAGTCTTCGGTTTGTAACCCTGTCTTAAATGTTTGATAAGTTGGTATGCACTGCGTGCTTCGTTTTCCTTGAACGCCCTCTCTATGTTTAGTATCCGATTGTTTTCGTACCGTCTCTTTTTCTGTCTGCATAGTTTATCAGCTCTTCCTCTTTTATTCTCAAATTCTGTCCTCTCTCTAGTTCGTCTGAGTATGAAATTCTTATATTTTAAATTTCATATACCACGAAAATTTTTAAGACAATAAAATGCTATCATTTTATTAATATTTATTATTGTATTAATATAGTGTATTCATAATATAATTAAAATATAAAACAGGATAAACAATTTTCGACATAGTCTTATCTAGAAAATTGTGTGAACTACATGTATCACAATGTATAAAGAACAAAAGAAAATAATACTGCAATTATTTAATCTAAATATAAATTTTGTGCAATTTTAAATTGTTAAAAACAATAGCAAAGAATTAAACAAAATCTGTATAAATCTGTTTTCACACGCTCGATTGACAATGGTTTCTTTTTAAGCAACCAACTGATTTAAGTCGCTCATAAGAACCTTCTAAAAAGAATTTATGGTTTTTAAGTATATTTGTGTAACTTATTGTTATTGAAAATCGGAAAATTATTATTAAGGACAATAGTAACAGGTTCACTTATTTTTAAGTCGTAGACTTTTATTAGATAATATCAGATAATATTGAAGGTCTTCAAATTCTGCTTCAAATTCAATTCAATTCAATTAAACGGAGTCCAAGTTGGGAAACTGATTAAGAACTGGTTGAAAAATTCTGCGAGGCGATAGACAAGGATGTTTACTTTCACCTATATTATTCAACTTATATTCAGAGAAAATATTTAGTGAAGCCTTAGAAAATTGCGAACACGAAATCCTTTTAAATAGAGAACGCCTAAACAACATCTGCTATTCAGATGACACCGTCATTTTTGCAGACAAATTAAAAAGTTTATAGCAACTAATAAACAAAGTAGATAAAGTAAGTGAAATATTTGGATTAAAAGTAAACATATCAAAAACTAAATTTATGGTCATCAGCAAAAATAAAATTAGAGACTGTGCAACTGCTTATCAATGGGATCACTCACGAGAAGTAAAATATAAAATGTGAGTGCATTCAACAACATGGCCAGACTGTTTAAAATCGACAACCTTAATCTGGAAATAAAAATAGGTCTCTTGCGATGTTATATCTTCTCGATATTATACTACGGAGTTGAATCTTGGATACTCACTGAAGCGATGGTAAAAAAACTTGAAGCCTTCGAGATGTGACTATACAAAAGAATCGTAAGGATATCATGGATGGACAAGATAACCAACAAGACTGTCCTACGAAGAATATGGAGAGAATGAGAATATCTTTTCCGCTACTGCCCTTGGTCGTTATTAGATCCAAATACTTTACGGAGTATTTAACGATCGAATATTCCCAAAATTCTTTCATCCTTCTGAGTTAGGAACTACGTTTCTGCTCCATATGGTCCATATACAATTTATAGGTTATTATGCTAAAAATCGGGACTCATTAATAACCAGCAAAGGAGGCTGTACTGAAGAAATAAAGCGGCGGTCAGCAATCGCAAAAAGCGCATGGCAAAATTAACAAAAATTTAGAAAAGCCATGAAATAACTACCGATACAAAAATGAGACTAGTAAGAAGTCTAGTTTTTTCAGTTTTTACTTATGCATCGGAATGCTGAACCCTTACTGAGAAAGACAAAAAGAACATAGATGTATTTGAGATGTACTGCTGGAGACGAATACTGAGAATACCATGGGTGGCCCGAAGAACAAATGAATCCATACTGGACCAGCTAAACATAAAGAAAATACTAAGAACACAAATATCAGAACAAATAATAAGCTATTTTGGACATGTGCTTCGAAGAAATCGTCTTGAAAAACTTACCATCCAGGGAAAAGTATAAGGCAAAAGAAATAGAGGTAGATCTCCCACACGATACACGGACCATATTGTTGCTACCATTGGCGCTCCATTGTCAGATATGTGCTAGAATGGCAGAAGATAGAAAAACGTGGAGGAACATTGGGAAATTTATCTAATAGCTTCATGATATCACGATACCTGCATCAGGTTAACGACTAAGAAGAAGAAGAAGAGAAGATTCTAAAAACAAGGTTATTAACATTTATAAATTACTTCAAAATCTTACCTTTTCACGTTTTCAACTTTCATGATTGTTTAAAACAACAAAGCAAAATCAGATGTACGTCTTCAAGGATTTGCCATCAGCTATCTCTATTATACCTTTTAGAACCATCAAAAACCTGTATAAGATTTTTTCAGCTGTTTTATTTCTTCACTGGCCTACTGTAACATTAATATAAAGCTTTTCAAAAACAACACTTTGTTAGTGTTTTCTTTTGATTTTTTTTTTAGTATCGATTAATACTATCAATTATTTTATATTCTTACTTACCAAATATCTTTTCTTGTTTGGTGCTGTTGAATAAACACTGTTTCGTTTGTTTATTAGACTATTACAAACCACGCCATTGCCACACAATTTAATACATATTAAGATATTGCAGAAATGTTTAAAGTGTGTATTGTAATATTAAATTATACACTGATATTAGTCTAAAAATAAACTGTGTCAAGTATCAAAGTCACCTTGCAAAAAAATTAAAGCTACATATTAGACTAAATAGATTTGAATTGAATCTTTACATTTGATTTTAGAAATCTTTTTATTTTAATATTTGTTAAAAAATAGTCATCGTCACCTAATGATTTAAATCTGTTAAAAATATTAACCAATATTGTTCTGATGTAGTTTTGTCTCAATTAGTTTCATATAAAATGAAACGTGATTAAAAAAGTATCCTGGCACGTTATTGCACGTTATTGCACCGGTTTTAATAAGTAATTATAATCCAAATAATTCCCTTTAATTTTGATTATATTTTCTGTATATCACACAAATTGTGATCACATCCCAAGTGGTAAAGCTAACGATATTTCCAACCCAATAAACTTATCCTTTTCTAAACAAGAATTAACTTTAGCCCTATCCACTACAAAAAACTCAGTTGCTGACCCTGATGACATCCTCTCAAATTTCCTCAAATATCTCCATAAGGAAACTATAAATAAATTGCTTCAGTTGTACAACCTAATCTGGTTCCGACAAGAATTTCCGTAGCTCCGCAGAAAAAGCAGCTCCCTTCCCAACTCTCCAAACTCGTTTAGGTCAATCTCTCTAACATGTACTCTTTGCAAATTATTAGAAAAAATGAATCAACAAGCGATTAATCTGGTATTTAGAAAAAACAATAGCCTTAACTCTGCCCACTCAGGTTTTAGACCTAATGGAAGCACTACTGATAATTTAGGGATCTGCAAACTACTTTTTTTTTCTTATGTTGCCCTCTCCAATTAGTGGGTGTTGGCGACGATTCTGTCATACTCCTCTTGATCTTATGTGGCTCTAAAGAGTGCATGGGCATCGAGGTTTGTCCAATTCCTTAAGTTTTTAAGCCATGAGTATTTCTTTCTTTCGTTGCGCCGTTTTCCTTCTATATTCCCTTCCATAATAAGCTTTAAGAACTAAATTTTGAAATATATGACCTAGATAAGCAGTTTTTTTTCTGAAGCAAATGCTATGACGTACAAGCAAGATGTGATCGCAGTAATTTTTGATATAGAAAGTGCTTTCGATGCAACATGTAACTCGGTTATCCTTAAAAAACTTATAAAAAAATGATTTGACGGGCAGCATATTAAGTTGTTATAAACAACTTTTTAAATAATAGAAATTTTAGAATCACAGTTAACTGAGTATTATCCAACAACTATGTCATGAAAATGGTGTACTTCGTATGTATTTAACCTTCTGACTTCGCCAAGACCTAGACTCGTAAACTCGCTTAGATGTATACTTTCCATCCCACAGATCCTACAACCCTTGTACCAAGGCACAAAATTATTTTAAACACTTGCATCTATAAAATTAGAATCCCCGCCGTGGTCTAAAACACCTCTTTTTATAAACATTTCGCTCTGTAAATTTAATAAACAACAAACAAGTCATTTTTCGACAAGCTTTCAAGAATTTAGTGAACATATCCCACTATGATAAGATGCTTTATACCGATGCATCCCGAAACGCATATGGCGATGGCTGCTCTGTCACTACAGTTGATGTAGTTGATATATTTGCAGTATTTCAAAAGCTCCCGACTTCTCTTTTAACAATCAGCAAAGTACAGCTCTGTGCACGAATTTCTTATCCCCAGTTTATTCGTTAACAAATATTTACAATCAACATCACCTAGTGCAAAAAATACTAGACTTGATCCATCTCCACACTTCCAGTGGGACTTCAATAACAATAATATGGATGCCTTCTCATATCGACATCTGAGGAAATGAGATGGCTGACAGTACTGCAAAAGAAGCATCTACGTCGAACTTACCCGTCTACAACCTACAGCTATAAGAACATATAAAATCTAAATTCAAAAAGAATATCTAAGAAGATTGGCAGGAGCTTTGGATTACCATGACACAAAGCTCAGAGGAATACAACCTAATGTTAACAGCTATTTATTACTAGCATCTCTGAATAGAAAAGAGAAGGTAGCAATATAAGGATTAAGGATAGGACACACACGTTTGACACACGATTATCTTATGTCCTCTATAGACCAACAGTTATGCTCCCACTGCAACGATATTCCTACTACATTCAAGCACATCCTCACAGAATATCAACACTACCATGCCACTCGCATTGCCAATAATATAACCCACAGTTTAAAAGAACTTCTGAACTCTTCAAGTCTACTCAAAAGCCTAATAGACTTCTTAAAGACTAGACAATTGTTTAACATATAATTTACATATTGGTATTCTTTACTATTATAAACTCTATAGGTACTATGGTAAACCTTTGTCAATGACCAAATATGTCGAGACAGGTTAATTCGAATTAAAAAAGAAATTGTGATCATTAAATTACCATTTTACCTTTTGATACATTTTAGGGGAACGATACGATTTCGTTATAAATGCTGACCAAGCACCAGGAGCCTACTGGATCCAATTAAGAGGTTTGGGAGAGTGTGGTATTAGACGAGTTCAACAACTTGCTATCCTGAGATACGCTAGAGGTCCTTACCAGCCATCATCAGCACCTCCAACCTACGATTTTGGTATAAGACAAGGAGTGGTAAGTGTAGACTTAGTGCTTGTATATAAATTAGTAACTATTAGAAGCATATTAGAATTAGCATTTTGGAAGCTTAAATATTGGAAGCAGGAAAATTACTTGGGAAATGTGTTTATAAACATTTTGTACATGTTACATAAATAATTTAGAAGTGAATACAATTATGTAAATAATAAATTCAGTCTGAACTAAATAAAGAAATAAAAATACACTGAACGGCAAAAAAGTGGCTACCCCATTAATTTTCGAAAATAAAAATTCATTCGAAGTTTTATGCACTGTTTCATCATGTTGTATACTTAACATCTTTCATTTTTAATTGAAAACATTTTAGTTGAAAACATTTAACTAAACAGTAATTTAGCTTTCAAAACTTAATGAATTTCGACTAATCGAATAATTATCAATATATGGTGTTATTTATTTGCAGTAGATGTTGCTTTGCTGAATTATTGCATTGCTACAAGATGAAAGAAGTTAAGTTTATGTATCTGAATCTTTGGGTATTCCGAGAACTACAGCTTCCCATTGCTTTATGCACGACCTGGTTCCGGTCGTAGAAGAGTTACCTCTTTCATTGAGACGGCAATGAATGTCAGGATTGAGATCCAAGACGGATTGAGATGGCAAGAAGGTCGGCTATTGTTCCCGGGTTACAAGTTAGACACTGTAGGAATCAATTAAATTTTGCTCGACAACATCAACATTGGGATATATAAGATTGGAGCCGAATTCTCTCTACTGTTGAATCGCGGTTCTGTTTGAAGTCTTGCGATGGCCGACAGAGGGTTTGGAGATGGAGAAATGAAAGATATGCCCAAGCTTGTATGTCCCAGAGAAGAAAGTCTGGAGATAATGGTTTCATGGTTTGTGCAGTAGTTTCATTTGGTCCATTTATTGGGGACAATTTTGTCTTTATGCATGATAATGCCCGGTCGCATACTGCAAGAATCATAACAAATTACTTGGAGGAAGTAGGAATTAATACTTCAGAATGTCCAGCTTGCAGCCCTGATCTGAATGTCATCGAACATCTTTGGAATAAGCTTCATCGTAGGGTTAGAAGTCAACCAGGCCAGCCCGAAAGTCTTAGAGTACTTCAAAACATGCTTTGTGAAGAATATGAACGTATTCCACAAGTATTTATTCAAAATGTGTTCGTTTCCAGTATTTTATTTTGTATCCTTCTAATTAAATAAATTAAGCTAAGGAATTAAGCAGTAATAGCAATTTTAAAAATAAAAGATGTTGAGTGTACAATATAAAAAAGTGCATAAAACCTTTAAAGGATTTTTATTTTCGGAAATTTATAGGGTGGCTACTTTTTTGCCGGTCAGTCTAGTTAAAAATGAATAAATTAAAAAGTCTGATTATAAACATTACAGCCACAATATAACAGCTTGGATGAAAGTGATGAAAATACCAAGTATTAGTGATTATAAAAATCCTAGAAATTCCACAAAAATAGGCCTTTCGGGAGCGATTACATAGTGTCCCGATTGATAAAGAAGTAGATATCATCTGCATTGGTTCTTAAATTTTTGCTATGCGAATCAAACCTACAGATAAGGAGAATCTTTAATGAAATTTTCGTTTCTTAAAACAATAATTTTTTCTGTCATTCAGATAACAGTCAGATAATGTTAAATATTTTTCACACCTAAATAAAATAGGGGTAATATTCCCGTTCACGCATTATGTAGTTTTTATCACTTGAGTAAGATCAGTTCAAGTTGAAACATGGCCATCGAGGCATCCCATCGAGTAGTTAAAAACTTGCAATTCACGTATTAAATATTTCTTTTAGCCGAAATCGGGCATTTTTCATACCGGTGTTTTTTCTTTTACATGTTACAAAGAAAGAGTACATTTGATATTGTATAGTAAGTTACGGCCGTGTTGGGCCTCTCTACTCTTAAAAGATTTAATTATAAATCGATAAACTCATAAGTGATTTTTATTTCTCTGGAGCTATATTTGCTCACATTAAGAATCCTTATCCTTCAACGGTCACTGAAGAACCAAACCTATGGAGATGCATCCAAGATTTCCAACTCTCGTAATGTAGGTAGCCAGGTACAAGGCTCCCTCGCAAATTGTAAATACAAACTTCTCCCAGAAGTCCACATAGACTAAGTAGTAGCTACAATTCGCTTCCAATGATACTTAACTTGTAAATAATTTTATATTTAGTTTTATATATAATTTAGTAGTAGCTTTGATGTATATATGTTTTTTACAGTTTAAGAAATACTTTTAGATTCCTATAGAATATTGTATATATGTTAATAGTGAGCTGTACAAATCTTCAACTAAGATATTCAACGCTAGCCCTTGTATATTTGTAAAAAGTTTAGAGATTTTTTTTTCCGGAGAAAGGAATAGAGCTCGTATAGAACTAAATACACGGAAAAGAAAATTTACAAGTTGTATCTCACAAGATACATTGCCTATAAAATTATTTCTTATGATAGAGTATGGAACAATTTCCAGACTGTTTTCCTGACTCCAGACATAAACGAGTTTTACATTTTTCACAATAAATTGTAGTTTGTCCATCAGTACACAATTTGTACATATTCTGGCGGTAATATTAAATTGGTGCAGCATACGTTGTAAATCATCTTCACTTTGAGAGAGTAGTATTGCGTCAGCAACATAGCAGATTATTTTAAATTGTTTTTTCTCCCATTTTTTATCTTTTCTTAATTCTCACTTTTTTTATTATTGTATCTATAATCTTGTTGAACAATTGAGGACTTAGGGAATCTCCTTGTCTTATCCCATTGCCTGCTTTAATAGGGTCAGTTAGTTCTTTTTCTACTTTTACTTTATTGTGTTGTTTTAGTAGATATTTTTGATCGTTTTGATTATTCCTAAAATTATCTCTCTTGCCCATTTAATTCGACTTGGTCAAAATGCCTTCTTAAGGTCCACAAAACATAGATATGCCGGTTTTTTGTACTCTAATGATTTCTCTTCGTTATCACTTTGGTTGTTACTTTTAGTGTTGTATTTAATAAATTAATTCCTGTGTAATTGTTTGGGTCCGATTTGTCTCCCTTTGTGAAGAAAAGTATTAGGATGCTTGAACTTCATTGTCGAGGAATTGTGTTTTGTTCTATTATTTTTTGGATTAGTTTTAGTAGTTGTTTGGTCAGATCTGGTCCTCCGTACTTTGGGAGTTCCTTCGGTATTCTGTCCTCTCCTGGCGATTTTCTTTTTTTTTTAATTTCCTTAATTACCTTTACCTCATCCTCTTCAATATTTATTTCTTCGTTTGTTGTCACCTCTTGTGTTGGTTTCATAGATTTTGAGAAGGCCTTCGATAAAGTCAGACACCAAAAGCTGTATGAAATCCTAAGAAGCAAAAAACATCGACAGTCGAGACATTAACATCATATACAGGTTGTACTGGGGACAGACAGCAAAAATCAAAGTTGATAATGAGTTAACCGAAGAAATTGAGATTAATCGAGGTTTGCGTCAGGATTGTGTGCTTTCTCCACTATTATTCAATATATATTATATAGCGAAAGAATATGTCAGGAAGCGCTCCTAGAGCAAAACATTGATATAACGTTAACGGAGAGTTAATTAACAATATACGATACGCTGATGACACGATAATGGTAACAGATAACCTAGCAAATTTACAGTTTTTGATGGAAAACTTAAACACCCATACCAAAGTATTGTCTAAAACTGAACATCAAAAAGACTAAATTTATGGTTGTAATACAGAAGCTATACACCAATATACAATTTAACCATAAATATTTAGCCAGTTGAAAGAGTTATGTCCTACAAATATTTAAGGGTTTGCTTCACTGATACTAATGACCAGACAAGAGAAATCCAGAGGCGAATAGATGATAGATAAATATAAACCTAAGAACGAGAATGTTAAGGTGCTATGTTTTCTCCATTCTGCTGTACGGCATGGAAGCCTGGACACTGAAAAAGATAAACATTAAAAACATTGAGGCATTCGAGATATGGTGTTACAGGAGAATGTGGAAAATACTATGGACAGAAAGAGTAACAAATCAAGATGTTCTGCTGAAGATGGGGAAGGAATGCGAAGTCATAAAAACCATACAAACAAAAAAACTGGAATATCTGAGCCACATAATGAGAGGAGAAAGTACTTTCTGCTTACACTCATAATCCAAGGAAAAATTCTCTGGAAAAGAAATGTGGGACGTAGGAGGATTTCCTGGTTGCGAAATTTAAGGGAGTGGTATGGGTGCAGTTCAATACAGTTGTTCAGAGCTGCAGCCAACAAAGTAAAGATTGCTGTGATGGTAGCCAACCTCTAATAGGAGACGATACTGCAAGAAGAAGTGTTGGTGGTTCACGTTTCCTTCTGAATGTCTTTTCTTTGTCCTCTAATCATTCTCTATATTTTTTCGGTGTTTACCCTATGACTAGTCAGTTGTTTATGTTCCAATTTTGAGAAATTCGGTTTTTTTTTGTATTAAGTACTAATCCTCATTTCTGATATTCTTTAGCCAACTTTCATAATATGTATTCCATATCTTTCTTATCGCTTGCCATGACAGCCTGATCATCTGCAAATTGTAGTGTATATAGACAAGTTTTATTCAATTCTACTCCAATGCCATGGCATTTTCTTTTCTAACTATGTAACGGTTTTGCTATATATGTTTTTAAATAGTGTTGGAGAAAAGCAACAACCTTCATGTAGCCCTTTTTTTACAGCAAAGTTAGGTGATAGGGTGTTGCCTATTTAAATTCGTGATGACAATATATATAAAAAAAACAAAGAAGATAAAAAACAGCTAGAAAACTACAGAGGTATAAAGTTGTTAAATACTACACTAAAACTTACTAAAATGTGTGCTAATAAATCAGAAGATAAGTTTAGCAGATGAACAATAGGGTTTTCGTAGCGGAAGATCGTGTATTATACAGATGCAATATTCGTTATAAAGCAAATTACTGAGAAATCATTAGAGTATAACAAACCAGCATTTCTGTGTATGATTAACCTAAAGAAAGCGTTTAATAGAGTAAGACTTAAAGATGTAATCCATCTTCTGTATAATAGAGAAGTTCATTTAAATATTATAAAAACTATTTAAAACATCTACATAAATAACAAAATACAAAATAACAAAAAGGAAGAGAATACAAAATGAGATACAATGATATGGATGAAGATAGTCTGCAAAGACTGGTTCATAGATTTAACATACGAGCAATAGAATTTAATACGACAATTTCATCTCAGAAAACTAAAACAATAGTAGTCAGCAAATACCCAACCAGATGTAAAATTGAAATTGATGGCATCAGTATTGAACAAGTAATTTAAATAAAATACTTGGAAATTACACTGTCTGGCTATGGAGACCTGGACAAAGAAGTGTAAAACATGGTTATCCTAACTTTGCTTGCTGCTATTCTGTATAGTCCGGTTGTCGATGTATTAAACCACTTTCTCAGGTTTTGAAGCCAAGATATTCTTCTTCTCCCTGGTCCTCTCTTTCCAAATACCTTGCCCTGAAGAATGAGTTGCAACAAGCCGTATATCTGTTCATTCCTCATAACATGGACCAAAATATTCTAAATTGCGCTCTTTGATGGTGTTAATAATCTCGCATTCCTTGCCTATTCTACGTAGGACCTCAACATTAGTCACACGATCCACCATGAAATTTTTAAAATACGTCTGTAACACCACATCTCTCAAGAGACTTCATCATTATGAACGCTGATCTCGCTTTGCCTATGCGTTGTTTTATTTCACTGGAGTGATCCCATTGGCTGTTAATGTTGGTACCAAGGTATGTGTAGCTGTCCACTCTGTCAATCGGATGTTGGTTAACCAAAAGCTGTGTACTTAATATTTCGCGCTTACTGACTATCATGTACTTCGTATTAAGATCAAGTCCGTGTTCTCTACTTATATCTGATATACGCGACATTATTCTTTGCAAACCGTACGTCTTTTACGTACGTACGTACAATTTGTTGCTGGTTACTTTTTTATGGTCTGCCTTAAGCAAAACTCATTACCCGTACAAGATCTACCAGCCTTTAATCCACTTTGTTCCTCCTCCTAATATAACAACGTAGTATTTATCATGTTAAAATTGAAAATTCATATTTGTATCGAAAATGTGTATAATCAGTTACAAAATCGGTAGTAAAGTTTAGCTACTTTGATAATCATTTTTCCCCAAAAAAGATATGTACAGTATTTTTGCTATTAATTATTACAGATTACGCTTTTTATCAATGCTGTAAAAATCATATATCTGCCTATATATACATTGCGTGTACAGTGTAAATAGATGTTTATAAATTGCACAAATAGGTTCTTAATCCTTTGGATGCAAGATGTAATGAAGTAAGAGCAGACGCCATTTGTGTCAGTCAACTTAAAAATGCTAGGAAGATTGACGAAGGACTCTTGCAAGAAAGACCAGACGTTAAAATTTTCTTACCGTTCAGGTTCTTCGTCTACAGTCCTCAAGATTTGTATGCTCCTAATACGTACCAGAGACATTTAGGTAAGTGAATAAACTATTTTTAATTCAATTAATTTAATAATTTAATTAAATCTTAAGCGTAAAACAATTTAATTAAAATTTAAAATCGTTTTGTTAATGTATGGCTTAATATTTTGCTTAAATAGTTTTTATTACTTCGTCTTAAAGTTACTTTTGCATCAGTAAATGTTGGTTAAAATACATACAGTGTAGGTAAAAGTTTATGGTCGGTATGGTAAAATTTAACAGGATATCTAACGCAGATTATAAAATCATATTTTCAGCGAATAGACAAAGATAACAATCATATTTCTCCTTGGTCTCCCCTCCATAAATATTTTTAACACTCATTGTCCATTAGTGAGACGAATAGTTCCGATCGAGATATTTTACATATTCTCTGGTTCCGATCCTAATATACCTAAAAAAACTAGCGGTGGGTCCTCCCGTTTTTTAAATTTTTATCGGAACCGTTTTTCGTAAACTGTAACTCGTTGATTCAAATTAGCGAGTACACAAACATATCGGCTATTATCGTTTATGTGTATAAGTATTGAAGTGAAAGAACCTAACGAAGGATATATTTATTATAACTTGAAAAATACATTAAACAATACAAATAGTACTTACATTTACTTTACACATTATTAAATCGCGAATCGTCTAAATTGACATTTAAAAACATAAGTTTTTCACTTTTCTTGTTAACCGTGTTCTTCTTTTATTTAAAATTAAACCAGATTTTAAACATGTGTTCACAAGGAAAAGATTTTGTTACAATACTACAATATTTTATGAATATAATGGCTTAAGTTAGGTTATACATGGCGATGGTTTTTCCACCACGGTTATGGACAGTTCCAATCTCCGTTCGAAATTTTTTGTGGGTAATATATCATCAGACAAATACATGTCGACTTCTTTTATATCTCTCGATACAGGTGTATGTTTAGATGAGTCATGTCCAATTAATTCATCAAAAATACACCATGGACTTAAGTTATCTTTATTAGTTTCTTTTTCTTGTACTGGTTGATTTTCAAGATTTACTAAACTAGGTAGAACTTCGCCTATTACATGAAATGAAATGAAAAAGAATGACTGAGTTAGAAGAGGCAATCCGTTCCACATCGGTATTAAATAATACAGACTTAGACGTAGACCAAATCTAAATAAAGAGCACTGGATTATTTGTTCTCAACTTTCCTAAAGTTTAGGGCCGTTTAAAGAAATAACAAGTACAATGAGTGACCAAAAATACTTGAAGGGTAGTTCAGTGATTGTTATGGTACACTGCCTGCAAGAATCTTGCTATAAAATTTTAGCAAACGGTAACCTTACATCCATAGTATCCGACTTAGTACAATTACTAATCTCGGGTTTAGCAAAAAGATTTAAAGGGATAGAACAGAGTGGCACATTGTCATTATGTACATTTATGGATTCACCATTTAAAGTGCAGAGTTTTTCTGATAAAAATGAAGCTAAAAAAATAAAAGAAAAAGTTAAGAAGCTGGTTACTTCTATAATTAACGAACTAGAAGATTGTACTATTGAAAATCAACCAGTACAAGAAAAAGAAACCAATAAAGATGACTTAAGTCCATGGTGCATTTTTGATCAATTAATTGGAGATCTACTCATCTACACGTACACCTGTATCGAGAGTCCATTACAACGGTGGAAAAACCATCACCATGTATATCCTAACTTAACCACTATATTCATAAAGTATTGTCAATGTGAACACATGTTCAAAATCTAGTTTAATTTGAAATAAAAAAAGAACACGGTTAATAAGAAGTAAAGTAGAAAAACTTATTATTTTTTAATGTCAATTTAGACTATTCGCGATTTAATAATAACGTGTAATGTAAATGTAAGTACGATTTACTATTTGTATTGTTTAGTTTATTTTTCAAGTTATAATAAATATATCATTAGTTTCTTTCACTTCAATAAATATACACATAAACGATAATAGCCATTATGTTTGTTTATGTAGGTACTCTTTTACTTGAAACTACTTTTAAACAATCATAGTTACTTGTTTACGAAAATTTAAATTTTTAATTGTATTCATTTTTTTTGGAATCCTGAGAAAACTAACAAATATTTAAAAAAAATTTAAATGCAAAATGAAAGATTACATTATTACCGAGGGCCGAAAGTCCCTTAGAATAAACAAAAAGTTTTTTGAATGAGATATTTGAAATTAAAAATCACATTAATTTTTTTTCACCCCTACAACTTATTTAAATAAACATTATAGAAGTTGTCAGGGACTTTCGGCCCTCGGTAACAATGTATCGTTTCATTCTGCGTTTAAATTTTTCAAAAATATTTATTAGTTTTCTCAGGATTCGAAAAAATGAATGCATTTAAAAAATATTGGCCCGAAATTTTGTGCCTACGTTCTTAACAATAAAACTACCATGACCCACCTCTACTACTCGTTACTCGTTGTTTTGACCAGACCGACGTTGTCAAATAATTATTGTGTATGAATATTTTTTAATGTGGCGTTATTGTATGCAGTTTATTATTTCATATTGGGAAGAAGGCACAATGTGACTTTAAAATAAGCGTATTTTGATGTGTAGATTTTCAATTCGTAAATTGTACTTAAAATACGAAACATAAACAAATTTTATTTATATAAAACGATTACTGTGGAAATCAAAATGTTATATTACACTTATTGTAAAATAAACTTATGGCATATTCCCAATAAAAAAAAACAGCAAGCTCTCATTTAAATCAATTTCGCCCAAATTTGATTATCTTAGAATATTGTTCAAATGCAAAAAAGACAACAGGTCAAATAAAACCAATAAGTTTGGCAACGTTGAACTTCCCCTTTTTTATTATTTCCACGCTTGCATGTTCGGCGATATAAAGGGCGGACCTAATATACCTCTCTCTTTCTAAACAGCTGTTTCCCACTCCATCTCACGTAAGGTCCATACCGACCATAAACTTTTTCCTACACTGATATAGTCATATAGTTGCTACGTAACTATAAGTGTGCACGATAGTGTTCTGAATTTTTAATGACTCTTTGTTGCTATTCTTACGGTATATCCCGAGGTCTCATTTTAACATCCTTGAATCTGATCTGGCTATTGATATTCTCTCAACATTTCTTTTCCGGTTTTACCAATTCTGCTGATTTTGTGCAATTGTTTTCAGTAAAAGCTTTGACAGCTTTTTTCTTTCTCCAAATCCCAGCAGCTGTGTTTACTTCTTTCTTTATCGTCTTCTTTTGAGCTAGAGTTCTTCTTGGGGCATATTGTTGAGCTTCTAAGCAAGTTAAGCACCAGTTATCTTCTTTTGTATATATTTTATGGTAAGAAGTTGTATTGACTTTACTAATTGTGACATTGGAGTTATGTTTTGTGACAATTTCATCCCGAATTTTGATTTACCGATTTTGTCTTCTTCTTAACGTGCCCTATCAAGTCTCCTTGACGTTGGCGATTAACATGGCGAAACTGTCTCTGTCTCGAGCTATTCTAAATAGTTGCTCAGCTTTCTTTATTCCCGTTCACTCCCTGATATTCTTCAACCAAGAGGCTGCTTTCTACCAATTCCTCTGCGACCTTCGATTTTTACCCATCATAATAAGTTGAAGAATATTATATCGGTCTCCCCTTACTACCTGTCCAAAATAGGCCATCTTTCTACATTTGATGTTATCAAGCAGCTCGCGAGCAGCATTTGCTCTTTCAAGGACTGTCACATTTGTCAGCATAGCCGTCCATGGAATTTTTGGTATACGTCTGTGTAGCCACCTCTCAAAGGCCTCCAGACGATTAATCGTGGATATATTTAATGTACATGCTTCGACACCGTATAAGAGGGACTGACCAAATGTAGCATTTAACCATGCGCTTTCGAAGTTGAAGTTGCAAGTTATCATTACAGAACCGATTTTGTATCTAATTTATTTTAGGCGTGTGATACGCATAGTTATTAAGCCTTCAACTACCTAGCTAATCTATCACTCTTCTTCTTTACTTTTGCCATTAAATTTAAAATTTATTATACCAAATAGATTCTACTGTTGAGATTTGTTGCATCCAACATCACGAATTTTTTATTATTGACGACGGACTATAACGGATTTTCTGTTTCTTTGGAAGATTGTTACGATTTTATTTGTTCTTTTAGAAACATAAGTTTGAGTGAACTGTTTATATATTGTGGCTTGTATACCATATACCTTTGTGCTTTTATTGTTTCCAAGATTGTGTATTGGCATTTTGGATTTATCTTCTTCTTTTGTTCTTCTGGGAGTTTTTTTTTTGACTTGGGAATTTTCCACTGTGTAATTTTAATATCCTCAGTTCGCATCCATATAATGTCACCGGTCTTACGACAGTTCTATAGAACCTCTCTTTGGACTTTGAAGGTTGTACTGTACTTCGATAAATTTAAGCAAGCAAGTTCAATAAACCCAACTGTGCCACTTGTGTGCACCCCTTGGAATAACATTCGTGTGCATCAATTCATTTACGCGAGCTGTATTAATTCGTGTCAACGGAAACCACTTCACCGCGCCTAAATACTTCAGACTATCCCTTTTCGCCCTATAGCACTCTGATCCGCGATAGGTGTACAACTGTCAGCCAAATTTTCTTCATTTGGAAGTCCTGGGTACAAAAACTCCAACACGGTTTCCTATCCTGATCAATTCTAAGTTAACGTGAGACGTTTTTACCTGTTATCTTTAAGTGAGAGCGCCCACCAAACTGGCGTGGCAAGTGGCAAGTAGCAAGTAGCACGCGTCTAGCATATTACTAAACTGTAACCAATGGAAACGAATGATTAGAATGAATGACGCCTTACCTTGTTTTACCTTGTTTAGTCTCTGTTGCCTCTTCAAGGGTGAGTTTAATTTATTTATTGGATAAACTTGAATCTGTATAATGCCGCTATTCGAGACTAAGTGGAAGCTGTAATACAGAAATATCAGAAGGATTTCCTACCTTTTGGACGCCAATTGGACCAAGCCCGTCACCAAGTACAAGTTCTGTTAGGAAAAACGATTCTTTTTAGATTGTTGGCCTTTTTGTTTTGTTCGGTTTAAATACATGGAGGATAGCTATGTCTGTGTCCTCACGTAGAATCAGGTATCGTTGTACAATGAGATTGGAAAACCACAGAAAACCAATCTCTCCCTGTCTTTGTGATATTAAATGCAACTCTTAAGCAGTATATCACGGGGGTGATATACCCAAGACATTAAAAAGGATCATGAACGTGAAGTGAATTAAGGGTTTCATGTCCGATTACAGGAGGTATGAGGGGATTTGTTTGGAAGTGTGTACAGGTTGTCTTTGTTTTATGTCTTTTGGTTGGATTCTTCGGTGTGGGCATTTTTGTGAAAATGCCGGTCGCCTCCATTACAGTTGAGACATTTACGAACATATATCGTGTAGCATGCAGTATATCTGTGTTGTTGTCCACAGAATGGACATATTCTAAATTCTAAAGCTCCGGTTGTTCAAATACGACGTAGCCACGTGACCGGTGGATTTAAAAATAAACTTTTAATATTATAGCAAATATAAAAGGTCATAAAATAAATTTCTGTCCAATGTGACGCAGATAATATTATTAGTATTTTGATAGATAATAGTATCTTCCGACATTACTTGTGATTTATTTTCGCAGTATATATTTGTATAATTAATTAAGTATAATTCGTATACTTTACAGATAGCAGTAAATTAAATAACAATATAGTAATAAGTTAATTGGCTTTATTATTAATGATATAAATATTAACAATGTTGTGTTATTACAGTCGCACCAAGCGGTGACCCCGTATTGAGTTTAATTGATGAAATCTCCTATATGGCTCCTCCAGCTCCAATTATTTCACAGTACGATGATATCGATCCAGAGCAATTCTGTAACGGAGATAACAGACCTGCAGATTGTGGTCCCAATTGCATGTGCACACACAAAGTTGATATTCCTTTAAATGCCGTCGTGGAAGTAGTATTAGTAGATGAAGGTAAGATGTTTTTCTTTTTATTTTATATTACTTGTATTTTAAATAGCCCGCTCTTTTTTATATTCATATAGTAGATAAGCAGGGAGCATTCATTCACAATTAATCAAAGATATCGTTTGAAAAAAAATAACTAGCCTAAGATGGAATATATTAAGTTTTTACAATCAATTACTAGATAAGGTGGTTCAATTTTCTTTATATTATATATTATTTTTTATATTTGAAAATCTTCTACAGCTTTCAACATTAATGAGTATACATAGAATGAGTTTATATATACAAAGCATTTCTAAGATCTAAAATTACTTTGTGGTATTTTAATTGAGAAAAATCTGCACATGACTTTTTGTGAGATAGATTCTATTAGTGTTAATCTGCAGATTTTTCTTCAAATCATCATTTGCATTGCATCTATTCTGTTTTCCTTTTTTTTTGTCACCCACGTCTCTGAGCCCACGCTCCAAATGATCAAGTGTAACTGTCGTCTTTCCTTTATGTTTTATTTGTTATATCTGTTTTATCTGCTCCTGTATCTTTTACAGTTACTTCAAAGTATTTATATTCATATGATAATTGTATTGAGTTGTTATTTAGCTCCAAATCTTTTGCGGTCTTTCCAATGATCATATATAGCGTTTTATCATAAATAATTTCCAAACTTCAGCTTCCAAATTCTTCTTCTAGCTTTTTTCATGTAGACTATGTCGTCTTTTTCTTCTGCTAAAATTATTTGATCGTCCGCAAAAAAAGACTATGGATATAGTTGTAAAATTTTATTTTTATTTCTTGTTCTAGTTGTCTACTATAATTCCACTATTTGGAAGAGTGATTTATCGTTTAAACGCCGAATATCCTCAAATTTAAAGTTTTAGTTATATTCTGTGATTATTTGATTTGAGTTTTATTGAAGTTTTGGTTTATAGTGAGTTTTTAGTTATATTCCTTGATTATTAAAATACAATGGACAAAAACCGAGTTGTTCCAAGAGAAGACAGCAAATTTCTGATGTTGATTCCAAAAATGAAAAGCCGCAGCAAATTTGTAGCAAGTTTACAAACAAGTATCCATTTAGCTGTATTTATCGTATACTTACAAATACATCGGAAAATAAAAAGCAAGAAAAAGGTAAAACTAGAGGTAAAAAAGCATTGTTTTGGATGACGAGACAAGGAATATTATACGTCGAAAAAATCATTCATTTTATTTTTGGAGTGAAATTCCAACACTGAAAAAAATTTCTCAAGAGCTCGAAAACGATGACTCCTTACCCAAGATATCTCGTAGAGTCTTAATCAGGACCATAATAGAACCATCAGGACCATCAGAAAAATATAAAATTATTGTGTGGAGAAGAAGATTGGACGTAAAATATATTATTTGGATGAAACCTGGATTAACGAAGGTTATACAGTTGGAAAAGTTTGGCAAGATTTAAATGTCAAAAGTAAACGCGAAGCATTTATAGAAGCTGGTCTACAGGATTAAAAGCTCCATCAGGAAAGGGACGGCGTTTAATCATCACCCATATAGGAAGTGATATACGGTTCCTTGATGATGGTTTGCTTCAATTTGAGTCGAAAAGAACAGGTGATTATCATGAAGAAATGACTTCCGAAGTATTTAAGCGCTGGTTTAAGAGAATCTTACCAAAATGGGAACCTGGATCTGTAGTTGTTATGGACAATGCTCTTTAACTCTTTAAAGACGGGTCACGTCAAAAGACGTTTTAGCGTAAATTCCGCGACAGCCGGGTGGCATCAGTAAGCTTTCTGCAAAATTATTTGTTTTTTATAGCTTTTTGTTTGTGACATTCTGTATTTTTAGGGAGAAGGTTGGAAATAAGCCACAATATATCTATTTACATGTTTAATACACTGACGTTTCGATCTCTATCTCAGAGACCGTTTTTAAAGATTTCAGAACGTCAGTAAAAACTCAGTAAATAAATATATTATGGCGTATTTTGAACAATAATATTTGAAAAATATAATTAACGTTAAAATAAAAGTGAGTGTACGCCACTGAATTTTCATACGTCTCTCCCCACTTCTCCGCCTTTAAACGATAAATCACTCTTACCTATAGTGGAATTATAGTTTAGTATTTTGATTGTATAAAGTTTCAATAAGGTTTGTGACAGTTTGGGTATCCTTGTCGAAGTCCTTTATCAACTTTAAAAGCTTCTTAGTAGTTTTGTCTGACTTTTATGATACGTAGAGAATCTATCAGTAGTTTTAATAGTAGAAAATGTATGTAATTTATATAATTTACTGCTTATGTTATACTAGTGAATCATATGTGTTTTCTTTTTTTTTTCAGTACAACAACCCAATCTAAGTCATCCATTCCACTTACACGGTTACTCCTTCAATATCATCGGTATTGGCAGATCACCGGACCAGAACGTAAAGAAAATTAACTTAAAACACGCTTTGGATCTCGACAGACAAGGTCTCTTACACAGGCAGTTCAATTTACCTCCTGGCAAAGATACCATAGCTGTACCTAACAACGGTTACGTAGTGTTAAGATTCAGAGCAGACAATCCAGGATTCTGGCTATTCCACTGTCACTTCTTATTCCACATCGTTATTGGAATGAACTTGGTATTCCAAGTTGGTACCCACAGAGATCTTCCTCCAGTTCCGCCAAATTTCCCTACCTGCGGTGACCACCTACCACCAATTAACTTCGATTCTAACTATATTAAGTAATGATTAGACTATCTTGTTAACCATTTTGTTTTTCCTTTCCTATAGTTAAAGTGAATTAATCAAAAACATATCAAATCAGTAAGGAATTGTAATCATAGAGTGCAAATGATAGAATACTAGTAACATAGAACAATCATTCCCAGTGAAGTTAGGCTTAACTTATTACCTGCTTAGCCTTCAGATCAGTACTTACTACACAGATTGACAGTATTAATTGTTTAATAAATTTTACTTATATAACTTTTATTATTTATTTTAAGGGCACTTTAGCCTCGATTGTTTACGATTGAAAATACACGATGGTAAGTAAATTCTCGTTCTGAATGATTTCAAATTTGATCATTTGAGGATATCTTTAAAGATTCCTCTGGTAACGGGATTTTCATAGAAACTTCTTTTGAAGCAGTGCTCTAATGACTAAATCCTTCAGATTATTCCAGTTTTAAGTTTCCTCTCTATCATTGGCCTGGAAAATCCAATCCACGTGTTCTGTAAATCAATTAGCTTTTTATACATCTTGTGCCAACTCCCATTCTCCTTTCTGATGCATAGGTTATATGTAGTAGGTCATTTTAATCGTTTTGTTGTATTCTATAGTGACCTTTGTATTTGCTTTATTTTCATAGCCTCCTAGTTTTAAATCATGTCAACTCATCTACTTGTTTATTCTTTAGATCGCATACCTTGCTATGATTATAATACCCAGTGATGAATATAGATTATGGACAGATTTTTTCGAAGTTTGAAATTTTTATTTTGATTTTGATTAATTCACTGTACTTATTTTAAACATTTATATAAAAAGTTACCTTTATTAAATTTGTTGGTATTTTATTTATTGATTAAAAATTAAAATTTTTGATCTTGCCATCACAAAAAAACTGTTATATTAATTCTTCGTTATTGTATCTATGTTAAATATAATTTATGTATTTATAAAGTGGCGCCATAATATATAAGAATAATGTATAGTATTATAGTATATTTAAATGTTATACTAGCTTCCCATAATCAAAATTTCCGAAATATAAATACTAGAAGATTGGTGCTATAATCTGTAGATATTAGCAAATCTTATAAGAAGTATTTAAATAGCACGTAATGCTGATTTCTTATTTAGATACGGTGTGTACTTTTACAGAAAACATTTTTATAGCCACTCAAGGGACTCTATCCACAACTATCAACCTAAAACTTTTATCAAGTATTTGTTTTTTTTTGCAAGCTTATCATATATTTCCTTCTATAGTTCTATTAAACTAACATGAATTTCTTAAATTGGTCTGAAACTCTTTCTTAAAGACATGTGGTATTTTTTATTAACCATTAACTACAATTTTTAAACCTTCCACTTTTCTACTGACCTAAAATCTCCCAACAGTTGAGAGAGACGTGGTGGAAACCCTATGGTTCAGTACTTGAGCATATTCCACTCCTTCCCATACTACTCCTAGAGTCCTACTCTCTCTAACGTTATTTTAACAATATTACGTCCCAAAAATAATGACGGATGTTTACGAATTTCGTGAATATGATCTCTGCTTTTTTCTGCTCACCTTTCAGTTTCTGTTTTTCTGTGATCACTTTCTCAATCATTTATATTCGCTAGTTTAAAATATTTCTCAGCATGGAGGATTAATTCGTCAGTGATCTCTGATAAACCCCTGATAAAATTTTCTTGGATTGGTCTTGTTTTGGTTTTGTAAAGCATGTATTTATCTTTAAAAAAATTTAGAACTGGGAAAATAAGTCTAGCTAGTAAGATAGAGTAAAAGGTATAAAAATTTGTGGACAACGCTTGAACCATTTAAGGTACGCTGATGATATCGTATTGATAACTGATAAAAAAGAAGAATTATTTGAAATGATGAAAGAACTGGACGTAGAAGCTGGAAAGATAGGCCTTAATATGAATTACAGCAAGACCAAAACCATAACAAATACACGAACATATCACAATGAGAATCGGACAAGATGAAATAGAACAAGTTCAGGATAATATATATATATATATAATATATATATATATATATATATAATGTATATATATATATATATATATATCTTGGTCAAACTATAAAACTTAACAAAGAGAACCAAACAGCAGAGATAAAGAGACAGTTAGACTGGCATGGGCGGCATTTGGCAAACTAGCTACATTCTTAAAAACAAAAGATATCCACAACATCTTCAGACCCACAAGTGGTTCTTACTTGTGGTTCCCAAACGTGGACTTTTACAAAAGCAAACATGGACAAAATCATAAAATCCCAAAGAGCAATGGAAAGACAAATGTTGCACATAAGACTAATGGATAAAAAGAGAAACGAGTGGATAAGAGAGAAAACAAAAGTGAGGGATGTTAGACAAGAAGTTGCAAAATTGAAATGGAGATTTGCCGGACACAATATAAGACAAAAAGAAGACCGATGGAACAAAATTCTCTTATAAGTTGGAGACCGTAGGAATATAAACGAAGCAGAGGAAGGTCCAAATGAGATGGGCAGATGATATCAAGAAGTACGTGGGCTCTAGGTGGATGACTGTAGCGACAGACAGAGAAGAATGGAAAAGGATTGGGGAGACCTATGTCCAAAGATGGACCGAAGAAGGCTAATTAGATAGATAGATAGAGTAAGATAGGGTACATAATAATCATTTACTATAGAGCAGCGTTTCCCAAATGGTGGGTCCTGATCTAGTACCGGGCCACGAAGGCTGAGGATAAAATTAACATCATTTCCCCCAAACGTGAAGCTTCTAGTTAACCAGAAACAACTACATACTATCATTAATAAAGTATTTGATTTTTATTCTGTTTTGAACCTGAATATTATTAATTGATTTAATGTTATATAAGTTTTATAACATATAACATGTATTATAACCCCATTTGTCAATTTTTTTTCAAAAAATTATTCACTTTCTCAACTTTTCATCCTCTGTACTTTTTGAAATCTCTTTTATTTTATAAACAGGCTTTAATACTTAAAAATCGTTCTAATTGTAAGGTTTTTACATATACTATATTTTCATCTAAGCACTCTTTTTCATCTGCATCCTCTTTTCAGCTCATTGATATACGAAAATGAACGTATTTTCGGCCTATACTTGTTTAGTATTTTTTAATTTTGATTCTCTGTGTTATACCTTTGCCTGAGATCTTTAGTATGTTGTTCGTTTCCATACTGATTCTCCTGCAATATCTTTGACTATCTTCATTACACAAGTTTCCATTATGCTTATGTTCTCATTATATTCACAGTATCGAGTATTTTGTCTGCAGTGGACGCCAAATATATGCCTCGGAATCTACTCTTGCCTGGGAAATCTCAGCCATTGTATCTTCTGTATTATCTTCGTAATTATAACATTAATTAAAAATATTTAACTAGAAATATTGCATTTAACATGAATTGAGTTGAGTGGTGTGTAAAAATGTAGATAATCCGTTGATTTTCGGTTTAAGTACACGCAATATCAAATAATAAGCCCAGTTAGAATTTTTGATGGTTAGATTCATGTGCGACACCTAATTAAAACAGTATTACCTAATTTTGCTCAATGTTAATAAAAATTATTATAAATTTATAACCAAAACAAAACTTTATTGGTATACAATTTGTTTTATGCTATCTATTCTGCAGTTTCTAGCGATTTCGTAGACAACTGTAGACTAGAAATTAACAAACGTTTTATATAATCACGTAATTGTCATATATAAATAAAGATAGAAGATATTTCAGCTATTGAAAAGTAGGTAGCTGTGTATCTTACCATTTATGTAACTACAATGATATGTTTATATTTTTATTATACATCTTAATTCTTCTCTTCTTCTTTAGGTAGCGTCTCCTCTAAGGAGGTTGGTAATCATCACAGCTATTTTCATTTTTGAGATTGCAGCTCTGAACAAGTCAATGGAACTGCAATTATACGACTTTCTCAGATTGTTGAGCCAGGAGATACGTCTTCTTCCAATACTTGTGGCCAAGATATTGTAACTTTCTTATCTTAATCGTATTCATGATTTCTATTTCCTTTGTTATCTTTCTGAGGAGCTCAACATTTGTTATTCGGTCTACCCAACTTATTTTTAATATTCTTCGGTAGGTCTACATCTCGAATGCTTCAAGTTGATCGCTCACCTCTTTCTTTAAGGTCCAGGCCTCCACCCCATACAGCAGCACCGAAAACACATATGAACGTAATGTTCTTATTTTGAGTTGCAAACTAAGGTCTCTACTGCATAATATTCTTTCAGCCACGAGTTCTGGCGTCTTTTAACTGATCTTTTGCTATGCACTTTACCTTCCAATATGATTTGGAGTAATTCATCTCTTTCACTTCTTAACACAAGACCCAAGTATTGTATTCTGCTCTCTTTGGTTATGCTCAGTAATTCTTTTTCTTCACTCGATTTACTTGTTTCTCTAATAATTCATATTTTTACATTTTTAGGTCATTTGACAAACGGATACTCGATATAAGTACGTTTTTTTTTTAATGTAATCAGGTAGTTACATAAATGGTCCATTTATCTTTGAATATTATAACTCTTGTCTGTTTTATGGAAGACAATTATATGTAATAAAGCGCATACTAATGAAAACGCGCCCAAGAATAGCTACAGTATTGTTATATTTTGTTAATTAGTACATTTTTTGTTATGTTTTTAGAATGTAATGTTTATTTCCTAAAATTTTCCATACCACCTTCAACTTCCACAATTCCGTCCTCTAGTCTTTGCCGTCTCAGTAACAATAGATACTTTGTAATGTTTTGTATGGTTTTAAAATATTTGTATAAAGTTATTAATAAAAATATGCATAATGTATATACATCTTTGGTGTTGGTTTTTGATTTACACTTTGTACACAATTGAATATAGGGTAGAAGAGCTTTATATAAAATAAGCTACAAAGAAAAATCAGTAGATATATATGCTTTACAATGTTTTTTGGCTTTTGCAAAGCTGCAAAAATGCTTCAGCAGGTAAGTAAAAAGTAGATTTTTAGTAAGTATCTTAGATATATAAATATTCAAAAAATAAGCGATATATGTATGGGATTTTGGGTATGCATTTATTTATGTACATGTAAGTCTGTATAGAAAGTGGTAAATATTTCTGTATATAATAAATTTATACTCCATGAAACAACACATTTCATAGACATGGCCAGAGCGGCACCCACACTAACTTTCGAGGGGTGCAAAAATTGGGATCGTTCACTTCTAAAAACAACTATAATCCAGTCGTCAGTGATTTTTGACCCCTAAAATTCTTGAAAATTATAGTGGAAGTAAGGAGTTTCTGGGGTACATTAAAACAACAAACGCCATGTTTCGTTCGATTGCAACGACTTCAGAGTTTTTTTCATGAATCAATATTGGCAACGCGCCATATATCGAGTGTTTACAAAAGTTATACAAAGATGGGTGCTACATGTATTAAAATACCTTTTTTGATACATCATAACAAAAATTTTGCCGAGAATATTAATTTTGCCAAAAAAAAATGGAAAATGGTTTACCACTTTAACCCCTAGACTTCCTCCTAAAACCTTCCTCGTATGAAGGTAAAAATGAAAAAAAAATTGATTTACTAAGAATCTCTACGCGGGAGAAAAAACATTTCAAATAAAAAATGTAGCTTAAATAAAAAAAAACATACAGAAGTTAAAACACTTTACAATTGTATTTTGGTGTAAAAAAAAATATAGTTAAAATTTTTAAAAGTTTCGTCAAAATTTATATAGCAGCATAATGTTTTCGATTTAATCAGATCATTCTCAGTGATTTATGTAGTTGAAGCTAACAATAAAGTTGTGGCTGTGACATCCATAGATGGGTTTACATCATTCCAAATTTAAATTATGTTGTGACTCGATGTTCGATGACACTGGATAAAATTTTAATACTTTAGGAGCTAAATGTCTCCTGTTCGATTTTTAACACGTGATATTTGTCAGTTCGACGCAGACCAATTCGTTGTAAAGTGTTTTAACTTCTGTATGTTTTTTAAACGATGGTATACAGCCAACTACTGGGATTTTATCATTAATTTTTATTTTTGTAGCTAAAATAATTTTGAACAAAAATGTTTATTAGTACTTTTTGCGTAGAATGAACTATTCTCTCAGAATAGGACAAATGGTTAGACTGGGAGATAAATGGCAGCTTTTTTGGTAGTGTCTCTTTGAGGACCGGCAGCATCCATCTTGCAATTTTTCCATAGGATGCTTTCAGTTGTTATTCTCGTTCAAGTTTTCTTCTTTGTAGGCCGTGCTTATATCAAGCAACATAATAAGTCAAACATTATTCTTAATTGCTATCAATAACGTTATTCAAGAAATTAGAGTATCTATTAAAGCCAGTATTGATACAGACGACATCGTCGTTTATACTAAATCAAACAATATAGAATCAGCAACTAAAATTTTACTTGGAAACAAAACGGCAACAAAAACTCTTTACAAAACGGCAAAAAAACGGCTTGAAAATTGAACTTTAAAAACTGGATTTTCACTTCTCTACAGAAAAAAACAAAATACATAATTTTTAATTAAAACAGATCTCATTATTCAGCTAACTTAACTTTAAATAATTTATCATTAAAACAATCAGAAGTTAATTTTGCACTTTTACCAGAACCTTTAATTGGAAGATTTGGAAGTCAGATACTAAAATATTAATAAACTTATATAACTCAACTATTAGGAGTAAACTAGATTACGGTTGCATTTGTTATAACGCCGCAACCAAACTACCTTAAAAAAGCTTAACGGTATTTAATCTACAGCTTGGAGATTGGCACTTGGTGCATTTAGAACTAGTCTCACTACTAGTCTACAAGTTCTAGCTAAAGAGCCACCTCTAAACATAGAGACAACAATGATCACTGAAGTACATTGCCAAAATTTGAATTCAACAACATCCTCTTTTCTCTCAAATTTTCCACCCTGCCATCCTCTCTTTAAAAAAACAACAAACTGTCTACCTCTACATAGAGAGAAGAAAAGTCACAAATGTTAGTATGGATCAACTTAGTCTATTGCTATATACAAATGCAATCTGTCCTCCATGACAACCCACCTACTGACCATTGACCTAACAATAAGAAAGTACCCCAAATCAAATACAAACTTCTCGATAATTAAACATCTTTTTGCAGAAATCATCCTGTTACCTCAACTACTTACAAATCTTTACCGACGTCTCTAAAACCCTAGATGCACATGCTGCTGCTTACTATTCTAATGAACAAAAACTCCTTAATTTTTTTCAAAACGAGTAACAAGATGGAAGTGTGTCATCATTATAGATGCACTTAATGCGTTATTGAATTTAAAGCAAATTTATACAACAAATCCCATTATACAAGCAATAAAAAATGAATTAGAAATACTTCATTCCATGGAAAAGGACACAGCTTTCATTTGGGTACTATCGCACACTGGAATCTGGCAAATGAAAAAGCAGATCAACTAGCAACTAAAAGCCGTATTAACTTAAAAGATACTACAACAATTACAAAATATCATAGTGACCTGAAACATTTGATTAAAGTTCATTGCAATAACATTTGGCAAATTTACTGGGAAAATTCAGCAACCAATTTAAACCCAATATGCCCAAAGGTAAACAACTCTTTGAATATCCCCACAAGTAGACGAGATCGAGTAATTATAAACCGTTTAAGAACTGGTCATACTAGTCACACGAAATTTTTGATCAATATAGATCCACCACCAATTTGCTACAACTGCTGCACTTTATTGACAGTGAAACACTTCCTGCTTCACTGTCCATGTTTCCAAAATCAAAGAAGAATGCATGGTATTTCAGACGACCTCAAATATATCCTAACAGATAAAAATTTAAATGTATTAAATTATTTAAGAGATGCAAAATGGTATTATAGCATTTAATGTACATAATCGTATTAAAACTATTGTGTTTGTCATACCACTAATAACCCTGCGTAGTTGATGTGAAAAAAAATAAGATTAATAATTTTTGTATATATTAGCATATTTAAAAAATTCACAAAATGTATCTTAAACATAATTTATTTAAAATTCTAAATAGGTACTAAATCCACTGGATGCCATTTGCAATAAGCCAAGAAGAGATGCTGTGTGTGTAAGCCAACTGAAAAACGCAAAAAAAGTAGACAAAGCAATACTCCAAGAAAGACCTGACGTTAAGATATTTTTACCATTTAGATTTTTATTTTATAAGCCGGAAGAAGTATTTAAACCTCACACGTACAACAGGTTTTTAGGTAAGATTACATAATTTTATATAGTATTAATTTTTAATAATATAATATGACTATTCTCCTTCTTGGTTTGGACAGTATATTACATGTATCTTATTTAGTTAAAAGATAGGCTGTTGGACACGGTAACTCAACTACGGCAAATACAGTTTATAACGATCTATGCCGTCTTCTGTTAACACAGTTAATACAGTTATTGTCAGAAAACTGCAATATCTGGGACATGTTATGAGGGGCGAGCGTTATAACTTGTTGCAATTAATAATGCAAGGAAGAATAGAAGGGTAGAATGAGTCGTGGAAGAAGACGTATCGTCGGAGCGGGATAAGTATCTATAAAATTATACTTATCCGCTGGACGTTTTATAGTGTCATTGTCTTGAAAAGGATAATGCCAAAGGATTGTTTATATGTAGGGAATAAAACAACCATTTCTGAGTAGAAAAAAACTCAGCTTCAGAGTCTTTTTAAACTTTTTGCAGAGTCCTCCAACGAGGAGCCCTGCGGCTACTCCTTAAGAGTAAAACCAGAACTGACTGTAAATCGACAATGTCCCATATTTAAAGTATATTTAACTTTTATATGAAACTTTACGATTTTTAACCAATAGAATTTATTAAAGCTTCCAGAAAGAGGGACGATGCACGTCGATGCGCGAGATCTCCTGACGCATCTCCTGGTTGCTTGAATAATTGAGAGCTTGGATTACCTGCACTTCTGCTGACCTCTTTAGAGCAGCGGCGTCGAAAGTGCGAATTGATATGATGGTTGCCAACCTTCCTAGAGGAGATGGCACGTGAAGAAAAAGAAGCCGTCTTCTGATTTCCAGTCTCCATTTAATTCGGTCGTTCCAAAGGTTTTCTTTAGATGTTTCCTGCGTTGGGAAATTAGTACCTGCTAAGGGTCCCTTGATCAAGGTAATGGTTGAAGACCACAACGGCTTGGGGATCCAATGGCGGAGGTCGCAACCCAATCTTTAGGGGATGAAATAAAAGAAATAAAGGAAAAACAGATCTCTTTAAGCCGTAGAGAAGGCCTCGGAAACGATTGAACAGACGAAGACGACTTAAGCTTAGAAAACGGACTATGAAAATTGGTACTTAGATAGAACGTTCAAGGGCTCTCCAATAAAGTCATTAACGTAATTTTGGAAGCCAATAAATCAAAAATGAATATTTTAGTACTTACCGAGACTAAAAAGAAAGGGCAAGGCTCAGAAAACTTAGGAGAATACAACCACTTTTTCTTAGGAATTCAGAAAGATAAAAGAGCCCAACAAGGAGTGGCCATACTTATATGAAAAAGACTTAGACGATGCATAACATCCTAAGAAGCAGTAAATCAGGGCATCATCAAACTTAACCTGACTCTGCATGGTATTAAAGTCACAATTCTTGGCATCCATGTAGTAAACGAGGACGTTTTATTAAAAGATAAAGACAAGTTCTTTAAGCTACATTCTTGTCGGCAACAGGAGAGAGAATGAATCAGGAGAGAGATCATTCTGTCTTCTGTTGCCGAGAAGAATGTAGAGCGTAGAATATTTTTAAATTATTT